AGTACCCCTCCCTCTGACAGGGATAGCCCCCCCCTCCCCTCTGACAGGGATAGTCCCCCGTTGTGAGGCACATATGTGAACTGCTAGGTCGGTAGATTCTCCAGAGAAGTCCTCCTGTAATTATCTAGATTTATCCGGAGTGCATATGTGCATATGAGAACACATTTCTGAACATGTCTACTTGATAACATGTCTTTCTGTTGACTCAACTTTTTTGTTAACATTCTGCTTTTTCATTAGCAGCCATCACCATCACCACCACCATGCCCACAGAGCCTACAATCCTTCCCACACAAGCCACTACAGTGATGGGGTGACCAGCGCCCCAGGGACAATGAACCATCCCTGTGGAGGAAGAACAAGAAGCACAGGTTACGAGGATATGCACCAGTGTAGTCTACCCAAACCTGTGAGTCTAGAAAGAAGTTGGAGTGTTGAAACACCCTTATTACATAAACACGTATTGATTGATTGATTGATTGATTGATTGATTGATTGATTGATTGATTAATCAACATATCAGCAATACACATTTATGGAAATATGTAGGACTTAGTACACTACCTTGTTACCTACCTCTGGTGATGTCTAGCTGTTTTTAAACTTCTGCAGTGGAGATGAATGACATTTCAGTTTATTTTTGACTTCTGTTTCTTAGTCAGTAGAATCTGCGATAATGTATTAAAATGTATGAACTAAAAAAAACAGCACAATGCTGCATTTCCTATTCTGGGTTACTCGTGGCCAAGGACAAACACACAATTTTGACATAGTCCGTGAGTGGTGCTTCTCATCAGCGATGGTTTTCGGCACTCACACTGCAAACTGTGCAAGTTGGCAGTTTGTGCCCTTTTTAAAACAAACAAAAATCAGATAAGCCAGATGCTTGTTATATACATTTCTATATTGCAGGGTTTCCGTTTCACACAACTTCCTGATATGGGCATAGGGTCTCCTCCACCACTGATCCCCTCAAGACCAGGACCACCAGCCGGGACCTCATTAAGACGGTATCACAACCACACTCACACATACAACTGAAATTACTTAGAAATGAAAATGTGCTAAAGATTACAAAATGAATTCAAATGATAAAACCAAGGAACCCTCTTCACCAAGTGGAACAAATAAAGTTATTGACTAGACATGAACTAAAATAGAGCAGCCTAGTGAATGGTTAAGAACTGAAATGTTTAATGTCACAAGGCGGGTGTTATATTTGACTCATCATTTGAGCTGTGTATCATTGCTTTCTTTTTAAAGGTTTCTATTTATCACTGTGACTACAGGGTGCCTGTGAAGGATTATCCACCATATGCCAAAAGGGACTAAATTGCTCGCCATAAAAAATATTAATGCATTAATTTCAGACCTGAATTGAGATGAACATGCCCATGATGAAAGATCTGCGAGATATCTGCAAGAATATACAAATAAACTTTAAAGATTTCATTAAAGGTGTAAGAATAAGCATAGCATACTTCAGATAGCACAAGCTAGGATCTAGAAAGGAGCAGACAACGTCAGTAAGAGCAAACGAACAGCTTTAAATCTGATCAGACCCAACAGGCAGGCAATGTACAGAGGCAAAGCCCAACATTGACAGCTGTTCTTGAGAGTTCTTATCAGCATCAACACCATCCTAAAATCATCGTTATTAAAACAAAACCATCTTCATCATCAACATCACTATCATCATTAATAATATCATTAAGTTAGTAGGTATTCATGAAAGAGCTGGGTCTTTAGCTTTTTCTTGAAGGTGCAAAGACACTCTGCAGATCCTATGGGGTTTGGTAATTGGTTTCACCACCGGGGGGCGACAGAGGAGAAGAGTCTAGTCAGAGACTTAGGACCCTGTTTGAAGGTTGGATCAGACGCCTTTCATTGGCAGAGCGTAGAGGGAGTGTAGACCTGGATGAGAGAGTTAAAGTAAGGAGGAGACGTTTTTGTCTCTGTTTTGTAAGCGAGCAGCAGAGTTTTAAATTTGATGCGAGCTATAACTGGGAGCCAGAGTAAGAAGATTCAATTAAAAAAACTTTATTAGTCCCCGGGGGTGTACGTGTATCAGAACATGACCTTATGACTTAAGAGGTTTCAAATTCAGAGGTTAGATAACCATTGGTTTGTGCCTGTTGTTGTCCAGATTGTGTGTTTCAACTCTATTTGGATACTTTTATTTAAATCAACCAGACCTCTATAATGTTTTTCTGTCCAAAGAAAACTAATACAGTCTATGTGGTTTGACTCCAGATGGAGCAGATTTATATCATATTCTGTAATAAACACTACAAAATAATTCAATATCAGAAATACAAAGAATACAGTAATCCGCAGTCTGTGTCATCCTCGTGCTTTGGCAGTCAGATACTTCTTTCCAGTTGTGTTCATGGACAGGGCCTCATTCTGAGACGGTGGCGTCATGATGGATGTGGTACATGGACCAAGGTGTATCATCTTTATCAGAATGATCCTCATTTTCACTATGGAAACAAGCTGAAGAAGAAAACATGGATGTATTTATTCACTGGCATAGCCTTGATACATGAATGAAAAACATAAACATACTATAAACAACAAATAGACTTCAGTGAATTGTAATGAGAAGGAATGACATGAAATAGTACAATATTAGTTAAACATATTGTGTAATGTCAGAAAGTTGCCTTGTGTAAATTTATAGATTAATACATACTGTCTGTTGTCAAAAAATAACAAGCAGTAATGTGTATTTTATCTACATTTATATAAAATATGGTATTATTACACAGTGCTAATCATACATGCTCTGAAATTGCCATTTAAAGGGATGATGGCGTGAATACACATACAGACGGCATGTGGCTTTGACAACGTGAACATGTGCTACAACAAAATCACTGAGTAATCCAAAACAATATAGAGATGACATACTTTTCATTTGGTGCATCATTCTGAGTAGATCCATTCATTGGTGAAAAGGTCATCTTTTTTTAGGCTAAACTGTTTTGTAAATGTTTTATTTCCAATGAAAAAGTTATTCCAGATTTTTTCTTCCTTTTTTTATCCTAATCTATAACCCACTGTTTGAAGAGTTCCTTCTTCACCTCAAGCTGCACTGATTTCATACTTGACATGCCTCTTTCGCAACAATCACTTGACAACACCTCCTTCCAATTAGCCCTCTTAAGCTACAAGATTTCAGGTCTCTCCCTCTGCTCTTTCACTGCCAACTCTGACCTGCACCAGATCTGCTCTCTTACTCAGCCCTACCTCCACCCCAACATCCCCCTGAAGGCTCCCACTGGGAAGGAGTTAAGATATCATCCCATCACTCCTCAAATATCTGCATGTTAATTAAAACTGTAAAGAGCCCTGACGCAAACACAAACAATGTTTCTCCATGGTGCTAATCTGCCCTGTATAACATCAGGAAGATCAGACCTTACCTGTCAGAACACGCTACACAGCTCCTGGTACAGGCTCTTGTGATATCACACATCGACTATTGCAACTCTACTGGCAGGTCTTCCTACATGCACTATCAAACCTCTGCAAATTATACAAAATGCAGCAACACGACTGGTCTTCAACCTTCCTAAAAGAGCACATGTCACTCCGCTGTTCATCTTCTTACTCTGGCTCCCAGTTACTGCTCGCATCAAATTTAAAACTCTGCTGCTCGCTTACAAAACAGAGACAAAAACGTCTCCTCCTTACTTTAACTCTCTCATCCAGGTCTACACTCCCTCCCACCCACTACGCTCTGCCAATGAAAGGCGTCTGATCCAACCTTCACAACAGGGTCCTAAGTCTCTGACTAGACTCTTCTCCTCTGTCGCCCCCCGGTGGTGGAATGAACTTCCAAACTCCATTCGATCTGCAGAGTCCCTCTGCACCTTTAAGAAAAAGCCAAAGACTCAGCTGTTTCATGAATACCTACGATGATGATGATGACGATGGTTTTGATATTATTGATGATAATGAGGATTTTAAAATGGTTTCTCTGCTCTTAAGAACTGCTGTCGATGTTGTGCTTCGTCTCTGTGCATTGCCTGTCAGCAACTCTGCCCGATCAGACTTAAAGCTGTTCGTTTGCACATACTGACATTGTCTGGTTGTATGAGATGAACCGATTGTTGTTGACAAAGTTGATGAGGAAAGTCCCACCCTTCTTGGTTTTGATTGGTCAGTGAGGAAGGAGTGACTTTGACTAGTGCAGCAGTGTTTCACAAGTTAAAATAATGTATAGTGTGTGCTTTGAGCACATCAACATCTGACACCAAGTGTGTTTTTGCACGTAGGCTGAAAATACTGAACGACATTGCAAGACACAGGCTTTACTGTGTGTTAATCTCTTCTCTCCAGTTCCACCCCTGATGTCAGTCTCAAACCTCGAGTGTCTGAGGCCTCAGACCTGCAGGCCCAGCAGCTCAGTGTTGCCCCGTTTCTGCCACTGTCTCGGACCCCATTCCCAGCTGTCACTGTGGACCAGTCCATCACCAACTACTCAGGTTTGACTGTCATTTGTTGAAAAGCAATCAAAAGCTATTATGATATAGCCACTTCATGTATTTAATAAATCCATCCATCTCATTGACAGGAAACCCAATAACAGCAGTCTATGCTATATCAGCCAATCGCTCGGGTTACTCGGACTACTTTGTCATGTCACCACCATCCTCATACCGTAGCCCATCCTGGATGTCCTACCCACCTGAACAGGAAGACCTGCCGCGGCAGTGGAGCGACACACCAGTGAGTCACACAGCTCCTCTATAATTTAATCCAAAACATGACAGGCTGCAAACACTTTATATAACAGTATTTTATTTATTTCAAACTATGAGGCAGTCCCTCTTCTCTCCCTTCAGAACTCACGTCATCTTGAAACCATCTGTTGAAGTTGTCTGCCTGACTGAGAGGAAACAGCCAATATCTCGGTAGGCCATATAACCATGTTTTTAGTGAGTGGAAATTCTGTGTTACTTTTAATTTTTTGGTTATACATGTTGGAATGTTATTTTCATTCTTAGGACAGCACATAATATACAACATAAATAATAACATAATTCATTAAGAGGAGGAAAAATTATGTTTTGAGAAAAACAGAATAAGGAAAACTCAACAGGGCACATTTAAATGCACAGTATAAAAATTCAGCTTCCGGGGTGCTCTATATCAAACTAAAGACAAGAGATGACGTCGAGGCTGGCGGCGAATCAGGGGATTGTTCTTCGCTGCTCCTTCCCCACCCCCCAGGAATAACAAACTCTGAGTTGATTGTTGTCAAGCCGTACAAGCAAAACAGACCTGAGAAAGAATAAAATGTTTACAGACGAGCTAATGTATCCATGTATAATTCATATTAGGTATTTTTTATCACAGCAGCACATACAGCAACACTATGGAAGCTTTCAGTAGCACTTCCTGCTTCCTTTTGTAGTAATCTTTTTAGATAAACTGTGATGTTTGCTCAATCGCACAGTATATAAATTCCGCCACCAGGGGGCTCTCAATAACGTCGAGGCTGGCGGAGAATCATGGGAGTGATTATCTCTGCTACTCCCCATGAAAACAAACTCAGAGTTGAGCGTAGTCAAGACGAACGGGCGAAACAGACCTGAGGAAAATAATCACTGAAGATGTATCCAAGTATAACTTACATCACATCTTTTTTTTACATATATTAACAGTGCGACAGCTTTCATTATGCAGGGGTCTTTGACGTCACATCTGGTGTTTCCAGGGCAACGATAACCATGTTGTGTCTGTCATGGCGGTGGCCACGTGGAGACATGTCCCGTTACAAATATTAAATTACCGTTTTCTCTGGCATACATAATAGTTGGAAGGTTGGAAAACAACAGTTGTTTCCTCTGTTTTGAACTCTCCATTTCACCCTTAATGTCTTTACATGTCAGTCATATGTGCTCACTGTGTCTTTCTCCAGGTGTCTCTTTTGATGAGAAGAGGACCTCTCCTCACCAAAGTTCTCTGGAACTTACCCTTCCTTAACTTTAGCCAGGCCTTTCCTATTTATTTCCTGCTTCCTCCCCAGCTCTGCCCTGACCTTTGCTTTTTGTCTCTCTGCCCACTAAGTTGCATCTTAAAACAAGTCCTCCTGTGCTCCTGTGCCCTAAAAGCCCCTTTACCTTCTTTAATATTTTTAACAGTGCAAATGCTCAGCCATAAATCTCTGGATATCTGTATTCTCTTTGCTCCTTGAGCACCTGGCCTCACTGCCCCTTACTGCCCCCCTGTCACCATTTCTATGTCGGCAGCCGCCACTTTACAGCAAGAGCCTCGTCACACTGAACTGAACAGTGCTCAGCTGAGCTGCATTAATCTGGGTTGTGCCTCCCTCAGTAATAACAGTGTGCAGTGTAGATGAACAGGGGGAATACAGCGCAGTATACAGTACCATGCAGAGGGGCAAGATGGGCCTTTCAACCAGTTCTCAGCAATTGTTGTACAGTAACAGCCATCTGCACAGCACATAATGGCACACAGGGCTGTGTTATCAGTACGGCAGTGCTCCAGCAATGGCCAGTGTTCTACTCCTCTGAAATGGACCGGACCATCCTGGACTTCCCCTAAGGTCCACCATAAAGCCAGGAATGCTGGAATGACTTAAAACTGTGCTTTTTGATTATTCCCAATTCCTATGTAAACCTTCTACAGCCAGTTATTATGTATTTTAAACTTGACTAAGAAAAAAAGTAAAAAAGCAAAAAAATGTATTGAGCTTACTCAATTTTTGTTTTTGGATATTTGTGTGATTTTGTCCTTTACTTTTGTGCATTATAAATGGTTTCTCGTATAAAAAAATTATGTGAGTGTTTACTGTTCACTCACTAACTTCAAGGCAAAAATAAATTATGATATATATATAAATATAAATATATATATATATATATAAATATATATATATAAACATAATTTTCTTTCATGACAGAGAAATCAGCAGCTTAATGTGTGTGATTATGATAGCATTTCTGTTACTTTTAAAAGAAAAGAATAGCTTCAAACATTTTTTTTTAACAGATTCAGAAATGAAAACAACAATAAGTAACTATGTTTTTTCCATCATCTGATTATGAAGTTTTTGTCTGATAACCATTAGGCAGACCTGGGTCAAATGTATTAATTGAAATCCTTCCTAAGTAGAGTTTTGTCTGCAAGGTTCTTTGACTTTACACATAAGATAAAATATCACTAAAATACACCTTGGGTTTTAACTGATTTCAATTCGGGTTTGGCTCAGGTCTGTTACAATGACGTGAAAACATGTGTTTTCTTAGAAAAAAAAAGTTCTTACTTGAAAGTTGTCTACTGTATACGGAAATTTGACTCTGGGTTCATTTGATCTTAACAGAGAGGGTTAATTATTTGGGCGTAATCCAAATTCCACCCCTCTGCCCCTTCCACTTGGCCCTGTCTGATGCTATATAATGTGTTATTTCTTTTGGGGTTGTGGTCATGGTGTTGGAAAAAAGCCCACTGTTAACTGTTTTCAGGCAGACTTCAAGGTTACCAGAATGCAAACTAAAGTATTTTAGCAACAAAGAAATCTCCCATTTCATGGAACAAGTCCGAAACTTTGCAAATAATCAAGCAAATATTTCAAAATCAGGGGTAGGGCAAAGGGGGGATTGGAATTTGACCATAGCCACTAGACTATCGGGTTGTAGTGAACTAGGAACTTGCCAGGCTCAATGAGCCAAATACGTTACAGTTAAATGTATAATTGTAAATATAAAATTATTTAATGAAGAGAATTATGCAAGAACTGTGGGTGGGGAACTTCACCTGACATTATCATTAAGCCTTCATATATTGTCATTTGTACTGAATTTATGATGGATGGACTATTTTGAGCCTAATTGACTTTTTGAAAGATGTACAAATTTAAATATAATCTGTGTCCTAATTGTCCATAATTAAACATAACAAAGATATATTCACCTAAAAATGACAAATTTACACACACTCAAACACACACACACACACACACATGCACGCAGATAATACACAAATAAAAGACATTATAGAGAGACAGTAATGCTAACAGAGAGTTTAACATGAACTAAGCACTTTTACAGGTTTTAAAACCTTGACACAGAGCAGAATCAATGCAACACTTTTGAAAAGACTTGAAAATATATATTCTATACATCTTGATTATATGAGGAATGACTTTCCATTAAAGGGAAGGACTGCAGCAAACATGGACAACACAAAGTAGATGTACAAATCAAACAAGAAAACCAAAATGAAGTATAATGAAAAGGAATATTATGATTTTATTTCATTATCATGAAATACAGTCAGTGGTCAGATATTAGGCAAATGCACTTTTGGAAATATGGGAAAAAATTGTGTCAAACTGTTGTTGAGGTTGGTCAAAGTATTCTTATGAGAGCTTGAATGGTTAATGGAAACAAAGAACTGTTATTGATATTCAAACAATGTTAGTTGAATATGCTCCACACACAACAAATGTGTATTTATAAATTGTGCTATGCACCAGATTCATTATTCAAGAAAAAGATGCACAGTTCCTAATAATAACTAAAAATTGGTGTATCATGGGTTCTGAAGTTTAACTATAGAGTCTTAGAAAGTATTCCTTTTCAGGACACCCGACAAGAAAGAGGGAAACACACACCCAACAACAGTCAAACCTAAGCCATCTGCAACTTTGCATGGGGTGACCCCACACATACTAACTCAACATATAAACAAAATACATTTAATAATAAGTCACAAAAGACAAGTATTTTTCTTAATATTTACACATAGAACATTTTCCACTTTTAAAATCTGAATATTTGGGAAAGAGTGAAGATATGAGATGACAGTACTGGATCATTATTAGAGCACTATATATGTATAGTGTTTTATCATCATCAATGACTTATGGAACAATCATCACATTTTTATATTATATTCAGTGTATGAACCCAGTTGAAGAAAACACACCTCCACTATTGTTCCTCATTTCATTTTACTCCATATTAAATAGAGGGGGGGGTTGGTTTTCTTTTAAAGCAGTGATTCAAAGGAGATGCTATGCTTTATGTTTATGTACAATGTTTGTGCTTTACACGGGTAGCGGCGACATGCCTTTATTGACGATGGACTCTGAGATGGACCGACTGTCAGTAGATTTTTATTCTGCCGTTTGAGCCATGTCATGATGCTGTGTCATCATGGCAGCGCTAATGATGTCACACTATTGTCACTAGAGTGTTGTGAAATCAAAGTGACCAAAACAATGAATGATGTTGGATGTAGTTATGCAGAAAACTTTTTGGTGAATTTAAACAATAAAGACTAAAGACTATTGGCTTGCATGTTTTTTGTGTGTGTGTGTTTGTGTGTTTATATAGGTGTGTGTGTGTAATGTTTTTACTTGTTTTAATTATAAAAAAAATCTTTAATTGTATGGTGCCTGGTTGATATGATTTGCAGACATAATAATGAGTAGATTACTGCCTTTGAACCACTAGAGGGTAGCAGACACATATGAAGCCCTGTCTTAAACTCTCCTTGACACACAAGTTCTCCCTGAAAAATGTGTTCCTTGAAACTGTACTTGAAACGGAGGAAGGCACAGCTGTCATGATTTGGTCTGTTTTAGTTTCATATTTCAGAGTTTAGATTTCTTTATCTTGTTTCAGTTTTCATTCTTCCCTGGTGCTCGTTTAATTTATAAAGTAGGTCTGGATGAAGTAAAGGTAATCTGACGACACCTACTGGCCGAAAACACAGTGGGACTCAGCGTGTGTGTGTGTGTGTGTGTGTGTGTGTGTGTGTGTGTGTGTGTGTGTGTGTGTGGAGAAAGTTGACTGCCTCTTAAAGTAGGCCACAAAAGCTGTAGGACCTACATGCAAAAGTCAATGTGACACATACAGTGACAGCAGTTGATTACGTCATCATTGTAAGAGTTAAGAATACAAATCATTTAAAGTAAAAGTTGAGCATAGTGAAATCCAAACAGAGACAAAGGGCGAGTGAAGGCTTGTGTGTGTGTGTGTGTGTGTGTGTGTGTGTGTGTGTGTGTGTGTGTGTGTGTGTGTGTGTGTGTGTGTGTGTGTGTGCGCGCGCGCTAGGGGGTTGGCTTTTATTGATGTGTGGAAAGGCAGATTGAAAGTTCCCTCGGTTCACTTTAAGGAGACACTGACTCTCACTCACACCACACGTTGAAAACAGCAGCAGCAAACACGCACTCCCTCCAGTAACAGGATGGACTCGTCTCCTTTCCTTTAGCCTACCTTTAACTCTGACTGTGACGCTTTTGAAGTCTGCTGGGAGTTCAGGGTTCCGAACGGATCCAGTGTCCGATGTTTCGCTCCTCTACCTGACTTTTACTTTGATTGAACTATCCCCTCATTTTCTTTGGGGCGGGGGGGGGGGCTCTGAGATGGGAATGTTTTTTCAGCTGCTGCTTTTGCATTTCCTCTCGAGTTTCGTATGCAACGCCGTGGCTTTCGTGGAGGAGCCCTCCGGAGGCAGGTCGGACGGGTACTGCGGGCGGATCCTTCGGGCGCAGACTCAGGCGACCCGGAAGGAGGGGCACCATGAGTTCAGGCTCAGAGTGGAAGGAGACCCAGAAACCTACCAGCCTGGTCTCAAGTACAGAGGTAGTGTTTAGTCAATCAGCGCAATAAGTGTACCAAGTAGCCTAAATGTGTATCACATGTTTGATGCAGTGGTGGTTCTAGACCACTTTTACTGAGGGGGGCCAAACTGGGGCCAGTTGTTTTGTCAGAGGGGAACATTAAACCCAGGTGAAAAATAGACAAAGATGATCACTTTAAAAAATATATAAATATTATGCCTAATAATAGCACCCATCATTAAATACCATGATTTATATGTGTTTCAGTAACAGTATTGAATACTAGATTGTGAGTCAAATAGTGTGTATGTGTTATTAGGGGGCTCTTTCTTTTGGAGGGGTGGCCACAGGGGGGACCAAGCTCAGTGTTACAGGGGCACTGGCCCCTGTCGGCCCCTGTCGGCCCCTGTCTAGAACCACCCATGGTTTGATGTAAAACTCTTCTCAGAGTAGACTACTGCTTCTGTCCTACCACCTTACACATAGTAATCGACACAGTTAAACACAAAGATATTGCAGCTTATAGGACTTTGTTTCAAAAGGCAGCCAGCCTCCTATGGATCCCAAAGAAGGCTTATGAGAAGGTTTGCCATACTTGGTGATTTGACATTTTACCTATTCACTTCCTCTGCTCTTCCTGAAAGCAATGATGACAGACACAAGCTCACACACAAACACAGTTGACTCACTGGCTCACCATTAGGCTACATTCTTAAACCTGTTTCTCAACTCAAATGCCAAAAAAAAATATTTTTATTAAAAATGTATTAAAGACATTTTTTGATGTGATAGGATGGATTTACAGTAACACTCGAAAACATGGATCCACATTAAATTTGTTTTTCAGATAATAGTCTAGGGGTGTGATGCAGCTATCATGATCCCTTTTTTAAAATTTGATCAGCTTGCCAATAAAAAGTAAGTTATTCCAAAAGCCCTAACAGCCTGTGACATTAAAGTTTACCTTTTGAAATCAGGATAAGATTTACCAGTTAGTATGAAAATGCAGTTTGAAGACACAGGGGGTGAGCTGTGAGACTAAATTGCATCCACATGTAATTAATTTCCTGGCCTGATCCTGCTTCCCCTGCATGACTAAATTGCCTGTCTTTTATTTTAGTGCAAGATTGTAAGCCTTGGTAGGTAAGATTGGTGTCCTATGTCATTTAGCATGATGCATCAGTGTAGACTATGTGCCTCTTTTCTCTGGATTATAAACACAATCTCCTCCCTTTATAGTGGTCCTCCTGGCAACCAGCCCAAATTATTTCAGAGGTTTCACCCTCATCGCATTAAAGGAGGGCAGAGAAGGCACTACAGATGATGACTACACAGGCCAGTTCCAGGTAAGGATGAATGGAGTTGCAGAAGAAAGGATTGCTGCGTACTAATTGTGTTCTCTTGAATCCATATCAGTTTAGCTGGAATTGAACTTCTGAACTGGAAATTTAAGGATACTGATACAACACAGCAACCTTTGATGAACTTAGAAACTGATCTTTCATATTGTTGTGGAGAGGAAGAGACTTTGCTTGGGGGGGGGTTATATACTGTATAGTCTTGACCTGCACCTCAGTTGCAGATACGTCGTTCATGTCTCTTAAGAAGGAGAGAGGGAAGGCAGATAAAAGAGATAAACAGAGAGATTTGGAGAGAATTGAGATGTTTGTTTCAGGAGTAACACAGCTCACACTGTGAAGCACAGAGAGCCCCTAAGGAGAACCAGACTTCCTCAATTAACTCCTGCTTGCTGTAAACAGGAACACACATCCGTAGCTGTGTTTTCACATGTTGATCCTAGCCACATTCTTAACTTACTAAACATAGCAAGATGATGCCTTTAGAAAGCCAATAGTTTGACCAGAGACTGAAAAGACGTTTTCTTATTGGTTCCAACATCCCCGACTTTGAAACATAATCATTTCAAAATGTTCACAGCTGCTCTCCTTGCATGCATCTTCAGAGTGAGTCATCTTTAACTAAACTTCTGGGATTTCAATTTAACAGTTATCAATCATTCATTATTTGGCTAAGGTTTTACAATTATACCTTTTTGATTTGAGGTAACAATTAGGCAGACTTGAATATTTGATGTACGTATTTACATGTATACTAACAGAAGTAAAAACAATAAGAAAAAGCAGTTTTTTGTTTTTTTTTACTTTGTTTTCTTTTTTGAACACGCTTAAGCACAAACATGCAGGAATGTGTGCAGCACTTCCTGCATGTTTGTGATCCTGTCTAAATGAAATCTTAGTCCCACTGGCCTTAATTACCATGCCTTATGTACATTTTTGGTATCAGCCCGTATCACTTGATTTACACCTAAAACACCCGATTGAAGCAAATTCCACCACATTTCATGTTTTACAGTTCATTCCCTTTTCATTGTCAAATTCCCTGATTACGTCCATGTTTTCAGCATCGTGGAAATCATTGGGCCCTAGTTATGGTAATCCATTAACTGGAGCTACAGCTAGTCTATTGTTATAGCCCCAGTTAGTGGTGGATTGCTGCATTACAGCTATGCCAACTATTAGTAAAACGTAAAGAAATTCTGAGTGCCAATTGAATTTTTTAGTAGACTAAATTCACACATCCCTATTGTGAAGTGGGCTTAAACAAAACAAAAGTTTACAATCTGCTTTTTCAATCCATTAAACCAAACTGGCACATCCTAGAAGTATACACCTCTACACCACTGATTATAAGATAACCACAATAAAACAATTAGCCTTACTGTAAATTATTGAATGTCTGAATATAAATCTATTTCCCTTTGTGTGCCAGTTACCAAAGGGGGTCGATAAGAGACAATAACATGAGAGCTAGTCTGGCTTTTTTTGTATGCTCCCCCCAACTCTTAAATGAAGCTTCTCTTTATTAAAGATGCTGACATACCAGTAATCAAAAAAGATGTTTATACCATGATGTGATTCATATTCCTAAGAGTAAATGATTAGGCTGGTTTTGCAATGTCTTGATTGTTATTGTTCAGTAGAAGAAGAGCTAAATGGCTCTTCTCTCTATTTGCTCTCTGGTATGGGGTTGTTTTTGGCAACTGTCCTGGAATGTGCCCGCCTGCTGTTTCACTAAAACACCACAGCTGGGAGCCGCTGTCCATATTGTGTCCTTGAGCAATGATGTTCTGACTTCATATGTTTATATTGTTCCCTTTCTGGACTTCAGACCACTTTTCTCTTTACATGTCATGTCATTCACACATGTTCAAACACTGACATCATAGAAATATTTAACAGCCTTTGTGGGCAATTTATGGTTCAGTATCTTCAGGACCTCGGAGAGTATGTATGTAAGTGTTCATTTGTATGTGATAGCGACTCTATCCCACTGAGTCTGCTTTGAAATGTGTGTTAAAGCATATGGGTGTACGTGATGGTCTGCGTGTGTGCTTTTCCCAGCCCCTCTTGTGTGAGTGTGGGACTAGGCTCATATTTATCTTGGCCGGCAAAATGTTATTGCTCTAGGAGACAAACAGAGCTTGTTTGGATAAGCGGAGAGACGAGCAGACAGATATTATCTATCTTATTGGCACGGATTAGCGAGGGATCTGACTTTAGGTTGGGTTAAATGTACCCAATCAGTTTACTGTGCAAAAAGGAATCCAATAGAGGCATTTGATTAGCTTAGAGAACAGAAAGATGTGAATAGTTTGAATGATGAAAACCTGATATTTAGGGTAGTCACAATAAAGTGGCATCCTAAAGTAATTGTTGCCTCGCCTGGACACACACCCATTCCTGTTCCTGTGATTTAAAGGAGTTTACAGGGACTGCATATTTATTTACAAAACAATGAACTTCCTGTGAAGCCAGCTTACCAACACATCTTTTTTATTCATGCTCTTTTTTATTAAAGCTTAGAAAATAGTGTTGAGGTTTATTTGATACATTATGCAACAAGGCAATGAATGTAATGCCAATTATCTCCCCAGTCAAAAACTGAGTTTATACTTAAAGGTTCAATTGTTTTCTTGAATTTGAATTTTTGCAAATCGAAATGTGTACATTTACAATATTTATCAAAAATGGTCAGTCTGCTAACTTATTTCTGAAACTATTTTCACCCAAAGCTTTTACATTATCTAGAGCAATGAAAGTGACCGTCCCTAAAGAAACTACAGAAAGAGAAAACATTTTCATCCTTAAATGCTTTATATGCGATTTTTTGATCCAGCAGATGTCGCCCTTGAGCACCAGCATGAAACCAAAACAACTCACGGTGCATTGTTGTGTTAGCATGCTAATGCTAGCGATCTTTATTATGCTCGTATCTTCACACTGCATGTAAATTTACCTGAAATGAGCGTGATCTAGAAACACAGTTAAGCAGTGAGTACAGTATGTTATTCTTCTTTTCTCTAGTCCCTCAATTAAACAACTTTTATGTGTGTTTTCCAAGTGTCCTGTGCATGTTCAGACACATCTATGTGCAAAAATTCAAAGTCCACGGAAACGTGGCTTCTCCTACGTCCTCCTGTTAGCTGTAGCATTAGCTGCATGTAACGCTCGGTTCTAGCCCCCCTCGATAAAAATGTGTCAGTGCGGCGTCATTGTCAGTGTGAGATCACTGATCTAAGTCCATTGACTCGTTGTGGCAAGCCCTGCAGCTCATGTTGAAATTTCCGAGAAGCGTGCTGAGCAACTGACCAATAACAACAGAGCGGCTCGGCAGACCAATCAGAGCAGACTTGGCCCACGTGGGGTCTAACAGTGTGGGCTCAGCAGAGTGTAGCTGATAGACTCAGAGCGTAGAGGGAGCAAGGAGGAGCAGTACATGAAAACAGACACTTTTTTCATAGATTAAATATACGAACCCCAAAAAGGGCATAATATGAGCTCTTTAAGTGTGAAAACTCGCATATAAAGCCTTTAAAGTTCCCACCACCTCGTGTTTCCATCCTGAACGGCAAATATTGACTAACAAAGTTTTAATCTTACACAAAGGGAGAATGATTTCTTTGATCACTGAAAGGTCTGAAGGGTTTTCTCCTTCTTTCAAACAGGCAGCACTTTTCATTATTTTATGCTTCTTTTATTTTGTATAATCACTTTTGCTCAAACTGTGTGTGCCTTTCAGAATTAGTGTTTGGAAAACAGCAACTTGTACTATTGTGTTTGAAAAAGGCGTAGAAAGGCTGTTCTTCAGCCTGCAGTTCGGTCCCCCCAGCTGCAGGCTGAGGAGCCCCCCTCTGATGCATTAGAAATCATATTATGTGAGAGTGAAGCCCACCCATATTCCCCAAAGTCTGTGGCATAGGCTGCCATTGAGAGGAAGTCCTCCTTCAGAAAGGCAATGGCCTCAGCCCCACTGCCATCACCAGTCTTTATCTGGAAAGCTTTCATGTGGTTAAACTCTGCTCTTAGGTGGTCCAGGGGGCCAAGGCAGGATGGACAAAAGGTTGTGACTGAGTCATGAAGCAACAAGTGCCTAACTTAGCAGCAGTTACTTAAACAACAGTAAACTTCCATTTACTATTGAATTTGATCCTCAACATCTGCTGCACTTCTCATCATCTTGCTTTTATTGCTTCCTCTTCTCCTTCTTTACTCTTTCATTTGTTGCTCTCAGAAGGATCATTTCTCTCCATCTTTCTTTGGTGACTTTCATTGAAACGTATGTTTTCACAGGAAATAATGTGTAGCAGAGTGTACCACCAAGAGTGCTGTCACATGGGGCCCCATTAGGGAGGTTTCCTATTGTCAATGCAGTACATGTTGTGTCACTGCTAGGGGTTAAATTTGTTAGCCCTCGGGGCCCCTCGCTGGTCTGCGGCTCGTCCAGCCCTCGGAGGACACCTGAGTAAACGCAGCTCTTCAGTTAATGCTTCTAGTTCAACACCTATCAGTGAGAAGATGTAAAGGAACTGATCCTCATACTCAAAGATATAAACTGAATGGGGGTCATCAGGGGTGGTCACAATTAGTTTTTTTGTCTCCGTTATGATCATTCGACATTTGATGATGACTTTTAGACAAACTTACACCCAAACCACAAACAAATAAATGTATGTCTTTAATGTTGGATGTCTGTAAAAGTTGTTTCATCCTTTTTGAGCATGTGTATGTTTAAACAGGACTCTGTGTTTGCTTGTGTAGGCACTCTGAAGCATCTGTGTTTACCATCTCAACTCCTGAGGTTTTAAGTGAGCAAGATTGACATGGACAAACAAAGGATTCTAACAGACATGTCGGCCTCCCCACACTCTCTATCCCTGTCTTTGTGTCTTTCAGTCTCACTCATTCTCTCTTACCTCTGATGGCTTCAAACTTAAATGTTGCCTGTCTTTTTTTTTTTAATCTTTCATTGTTTAAATAGAAATCCTAACAATGGAATGGAATACCTCAGTTCTGTACGTCTAATCCCAACAGCATATTGGACAGGTTTTCCATTTTGAAAGTACAATACAAAGCTCCTGTGCTTTATTCAAGAAGAGTATTGCACATATACAGTCAGGTTAGCAAAAAAACAACATCACAACGTGAATCAAGTAAAAGACAGATTAAATAATAAAACAACATACAGTACATAAATAAAAGTACAAATGAGAGACAGTAATTATATATAGGCTACAAGTAAATTCAACCTATTAAGACGCATTTAAATAGTGAAATCATTATTTAAATAGAGGGGGAAAGGTTTTAGAATAATGCAGACATTTGTATTTTTTTGTTGTTAATTAAAAGTAGTGATTTCAGTCGGGACTTTAACTCTAGATTAAAAATTTATTAAATTAATCCATGCTCGTTTTTTTTGGAAGTGGGTGTGGGTGTTAAAATACAATTCATTTCCTGAAAGGATGCATCTGATCCATACTGCACAAAACCAGGAAGTTACTGTAGTATCCATGCTGAAATGTTCAGTATACAGAGTTGGACCCAAAGAATGCATACTGAATGACCACGAGACTTCAGTCTACTGAAAGTCTGCACTGCATACTGAACTGTGGCTTTTCAGATCGGGACACAGGCAGAAACATCATGTAGAAACACTACATGACACACGGGGTAAAAAGTACAACACAAAATCAGGAAACACTAAAGACACAATGTAACAATAACAATGCACACTAGAACATAGAGAAATACAAGGATAAGTATTTACAAAACAGGAAACACTGAATATTAAACTATGAAACATTAAGGGAAACAAGGAACACTAGGATAGACAATTACCAAATAAGACAGAACATGGCCACTATGCAACAAAACAAGGAATAAACTAAACAAGAGTAAACCATGACCACTAGTGTGTTCATAAAAAGACATCCCATTTAAACCCTTTTCACACATACAGAAATCTCCTGAAAAACTCTGGAGATTAGTCTACCCGGAGTTTCTCCTCCAGACTCCTAGTATTTAATCCGCAGAATATCAGAGTGAGCTGATGTCTGAACGCAGACGAATATACTCCAGAGATTTCACCTCGAGCCAATAGAAAGAAAATTACGTTTTCTATCTAAAGTGTCTGCACGCGACCTCTACGATCTCCGTGCTCTAATTATACATCTGCATTATGTTTTCTGTTCATCACTATGTTGTTCTCCTCTCTTTTGTGGATGTTGTCATTCCATTGGATTACACATAGCATTGATATAAAGACAAATATTCCCATTATAACGTTGTGTAGCGGACTCTGTTGCTTACTTCCACATTGTTCTTTTACGTCACGTCTTACCTCAGGAAATCCTCGCCCCCCCTCCCCTCTGACAGGGATAGCCCCCCTCCCTCTGACAGGGATAGCCCCCCCTCCCTCTGACAGGGATAGTCCCCGCTGTGAGGAGCATATGTGAACGGCTAGGTTGGGAGAATCTCCGGAGAAGTCCTCCTGAAATGATCTAGATATTATCAATCCACCCCAGATATATACTGTTCACTACCAAGCATCAAAGTATTCTGAGTTTTGAGGTTTGAGAAAAAGATTTATCTCATGAACTGAATTTAGTCTGATGTCTGTCAATATACTGAATTACAGAGAACTTGTTACTTTACTTATGTGGCCTGGATACTACTTTTTTCATAAAGATAGAAAGGCAATGTCATTTTTTGTTTAAATATACATTTATATATATATATATATATATATATATATAAAAACTAAATCCTCTTTTGTTTCTAGATCATTGATGAAGAGGACACACAGTTCATGACCAACTGTGCCCCTGCAGTGACAGAGAGTACACCTCGTAGACGTACAAGAATACAGGTCTTCTGGACGGCACCACCTCCTGGCTCTGGCTGTGTCATACTGAAGTGAGTTTGATTTTCATTGAGCAGCTTTTGATAAAGATCGTACCTGTTTGAAAGCCAAAGAGAGTGAGCAATACTTATTTGGGTTAGAATTCAAATTATTTTAAAGTTTTTGAATTAAGTGACATCATATGGAAATGTACTTGCAAGTGATGACCAATTAATACCTTGCAATAATATGCTGTGTTGGCGGACCACTGTCCACACAGTTATAACAATAATCCATTGATACACATTCATCTGCTGACGAAAGACACGGGGCATTTTGGGTGTCAGTGTCTTGCCCAAGAACACTTTGACATGTGACTGCAGGATCTGGGGATTGAACCCCGAACTTCAGGTTGACAGACTCTACCAATGATCCACAGCCCAACAAAACACCGAACCCCAAATAGCTTGTGCTGTTCTACCAGTGACGTTTGAATGTGTGTGAATGGAATAGTACAGATGGACAGTCTGTACTCAGTCCTCTCCTCCTCTTTGGGCTCTGTGGATGTCGTAGGTCTGTGCTACACGTCCTGGAGGGGATATTTGTGGAGGATGAGAAGGAGAAGAGGAATGACATCTCTGTCTTACTGATGCCAACCTAATCAGCCTTGGTGATAATAATGACTTCAAGCTTTGTAGGAAACACACAACTATTCAGCTCTCAGTGAACCCCACACCCCATGGAAACACCTCCCCCTGCCAGATGGATTTAATAAAACACTCAAAAGAAGCAACTGCTTATATCACATTATTTATAAACAATACAACAGACACATATTATACATTTACTTTGCATTTTTACAGTGATCAGAATAGTTTATTAGGTGTACAGTAACAGTGCTTTGAGTAGTCAGAAGACTAGAAAAGCTCTATACAAGCTCAAGTCCATTACAATAAAACGTTTTTATAACTACTGCTTCAATACAGTTAGCTTATAGTGCAAAAACAATCGATCTTGGGCTTGGGCAATTAATCAAAACCGACATCCAGAACCTCTAACCGACATAATCTTGCTCATGTCGTTTATTTCTATAATTTCAGGGCACGTCCAATTCGTGACATGGAAGCAATGTCCGTCGTTTGGACACCTTTTGTCTTTAGGGAAGAGGACACAGAAGAAAAAGAGGTCAAATGTAAACACTGTGGACAAACTGTTTATCTTCTACTGTTTTAGAGAAGTGAATTTCTACTTTAAAACTAAATGTGTCGTTTTCATTTCAATCGATGCTTTGATTTCAGTTCCAAATATTTAATAAATAACCACAGAACAGTTCATCAGATATTCACTCTTTCATCAGAAATCATATCCCAGCTTGAATAGTTGAGCATGTTTACAGTAGAGACCTCGTCAGTGAACTGAGGGCAAAACAAAAACAAAATAATTGTTCATTAATCGTGATCGAGGTAAAATTTTTAACGTGATATTGATTTGAGGTCACATCGCCCAGCCCTAGATAGATCTATAATGTCAAATCTTATTTTCACAGGCCATTATGTATAGAGTTCCCTGAGGTACCCTGCTTGTTAATTGTTGACTCTAAATGGACTGTAGGTGTGAGCATGAATATTTGTCTATATGTCAGCCCTGTGATTGACTGGATCGCCTAATGACAGCACTGGGATCTGTTTTTCTATGCTTGCTGTCAAACAGTAGAAAACATGTAGTGGCTTGGCTTTGGTCACGGCTTTAAGACTTTTGAAAAGCAATAACATGTTTCCAGTTTGGGAAAACATTGTTGTGGTTTCCTTGCAGCTTTGGATTCAGCTCGTCGTGAGAGATGAAAATATATCTGCCAGATATGACATATATGTGAGAAGCCTTTGAAGAGCCTGGGCACAATCTGTGTGAAACAGGAAGTGTGTGTTCTGCTTCCATGTCTGGTCAAAAAGCAGGTTGCCTTTATTAATCATATCCTGAATAACTTCTTTCAATACCTTCTCAAGATCTGCAGGCATTCCTTTGCATGCCAGCGCTTGTCGATGACTGAGACAATGGTTCCAGATGGTTCATTCATTAACTGTTCTTAAATCCTAGTTACAAACTTTTGAAGAAGATTCTGTGATTCACCACTCCCAGTACTCTTATGCACTGCTTATTGTATGTCATTTCAATCTACAGTTGTGTAATATACAAGGGTTTAAATTACAGTATTTTGTTTCATAACTAGCCTAATGAAATATTGAATAAATATGCTTATGATCATGCAAACCCAAGTGGTCTTATAAGATAAATAACATGCACAACAATTCAATTCACAAACGTTAATGATGATGCATCCCATGCCTCTTTTTTTGTGTTCCTGTGTAACCATTACTCACACTCAATTCAATTCAATTCAAAAAAAACTTTATTTTTCCCCGGGGGGCAATTCAAAGTGTTGAATGCTCAATAAAACATCCTGCTGACCTCCTCTAGTAGTACCTCCACTTCAGAACTGCTAAAGTGTCTTTATATTTATATCCACATCTATATCCATGTACAGTGGGTACGGAAAGTATTCAGACCCCTTTACATTTTTCACTCTTTGTTTCATGGCAGCCATTTGCTAAAATCAAAAAAGTTCATTTTATTTCTCATTAATGTACACTCAGCACCCATCTTGACAGAAAAAAAAACAGAAATGTAGAAATTTTTGCAAATTTATTAAAAAAGAAAAACTGAAATATCACATGGTCATAAGTATTCAGACCCTTTGCTCAGTATTGAGTAGAAGCACCCTTTTGAGCTAGTACAGCATGAGTCTTCTTGGAAATGATGCAACAAGTTTTTCACACCTGGATTTGGGGATCCTCTGCCATTCTTCCTTGCAGATCCTCTCCAGTTCTGTCAGGTTGGATGATGAACGTTGGTGGACAGCCATTTTCAGGTCTCTCCAGAGATGCTCAATTGGGTTTAGGTCAGGGCTCTGGCTGGGCCAGTCAAGAATGGTCACAGAGTTGTTCCGAAGCCACTCTTTGTTATTTTAGCTGTGTGCTTAGGGTCATTGTCTTGTTGGAAGGTGAACCTTCGGCCCAGTCTGAGGTCCTGAGCACTCTGGAAGAGGTTTTCTTCCAGGATATCTCTGTACTTGGCCGCATTCATCTTTCCTTCAATTGCAACCAGTCGTCCTGTCCCTGCAGCTGAAATACACCCCCATAGCATGATGCTGCCACCACCATGTTTCACTGTTGGGATTGTATTGGGCAGGTGATGAGCAGTGCCTGGTTTTCGCCACATACCGCTTAGAATTAAAGCCAAAAAGTTCAATCTTGGTCTCATCAGACCAGAGAATCTTCTTTCTCATAGTCTGGGAGACCTTCATGTGTTTTTTTGGCAAACTCTATGCGGGCTTTCATATGTCTTGCACTGAGGAGAGGCTTCCGTCGGGCCACTCTGCATGAAGCCCCGACTGGTGGACGGCTGCAGTGATAGTTGACTTTGTAAAACTTTCTCCCATCTCCCTACTGCATCTCTGGAGCTCAGCCAAGTGATCTTTGGGTTCTTCTTTACCTCTCTCACCAAGGCTCTTCTCCCACGATTGCTCGTTTGGCTGGACGGCCAGGTCTAGGAAGAGTTCTGGTCGTCCCAAACTTCTTCCATTTAAGATTATGGAGGCCACTGTGCTCTTAAGAACCTTGAGTGCTGCAGAAATTCTT